GCGCACATGATAGAATACGTAGAAGGCCGTACGGTAGTTTAATTGTAATGGAACTAATATTTTGCATTTATGTTTTTTGTACTTATTACTAAATACTGTTACATTCATTATTTTTGTACACATAAAGATATTTTTTATAAAYGTATTGACATTTTGAAGTTATATTTTAGCCATAAGCGGTAGGTACATGATTGATATTCTTAATACACATGTGTGGTACGTGAAAATAAAAGTTTGAGAACTTCTGGCTTATATGGTGCAACACATTTTTATTCAAAACTATTTTTCGCTCAGTGATACTCGGAGATTATTCAAAATGCCTAATTTAATCAAAAGTCAAATCACTTAATCCTCTATTACATTAGTTTATATACATATATTTAAATATATACTTACTATATTATTTATTACCTATATATATACCATTACAAATTACAATGTACAGTCGAGTCTTTATAACTCAAATTTTTTTTTTCTTGCCCCGAAATGTTACATTCTTGTATTTGAGATACGTAATATCAACTTAAAAAAATTACACAAGTCGAATTCAATATTATTTCCYTCGAGATTCGAGTTATCAAGACTCGACTGTAATAAATAATAACATATTATAATATTACGTATATTATAGACAGTTTCTTACGTTAATAGGTAAATAGTTTCGACGGAGACGAGGCTRACAATGGAGGGTTTCACTCTTGGCGATGCATGATAACAGAGACACAATTCAATAAACACAACGAAAATAGGAGTGGTATGCGACACGTGATTGATAAATACTGGTACGACATTGTTTACAGCTGATGGATAAATAATGTCGTTAAATAATACCCATGCAGACCAAAAACCGCTACACACGCACTGTAACATAATAATATTATACAAATAACGCGTTAACTRTTGGCGTAATGTAATACAACAGGGGTCGGCGACCTTTTTGATGTAAAGGGCTAAAAAATAAATATACATTTTCATTGCCACGATATTTTAATATTCTTATTATACCCACCTTATTTTATTTCAAACAAAACTTTTTAATCATTTATCAAATTAAGTTTATTTGAGTTTATAATTATTGTTGGATATATATTTATTAATTTAACAAGGTATCTAACCRAACCAACAACGTTTTAGTTCACTGTTTTCAGTCCTTACTCCTTAGTTCGTGATTTTTTTATTGCGATGTATAACAGCTATTTTTATTTAAATTATAAACTTTATTAGCCATCGCTTGAAATTACTGTATAAGGGTTGTGGGTGGGTAGCCTACCCCATGTCCATGTGCAGTACCTAATAGCTTATACCGCTATATCATATGAACAAATAATTTAGTAAGCTAATAATATGTAAACTTGGTGAGGTCGACAGATACATTTAAGGGGTTTAATATAGGCAATTCTAATGACAGTCCGAGTTATAAAAAATGGTCAGTACCAACAATATGGCAATATGGTTGTTGCGTAATAACGATATTGTATGGGGAAACGGTTTCTCACGGGAAAAACTTATGTAACGAGTACCTACATTGTTTATACAGTAGATTTAGCAATTTTTCAAATTACATATACATAGAAGAGAATTTTATTTGTGTCATAGCGTTTGATATCATATCAATATACTCTTTCAATTTTTAATAAACAAACGAAAAYACAAAATTAGTATGTAAGGATGAATAATTAAGTTGTATAAGATTTAATTCCATTTTGCAGACTCGAGGGTTAAATACTTTTATAAAGAATTTGGAATAAATACTCGAATACTTATAAAAAAATGCAGTCGAAATACATGTGTATATTTGAATACTTCATGAAAAGAGCCTTCCGAATAAATTATTCCAAATACTTTTAAAATACTTTTTTTTTAAATATTAAACCAATGAAACATTACTTCGAGAAAATTTAAAATTAGCACCCTCATATAAAATGTAATCATTCAAATAWGTATAATATTTAAAAATTTCCAGAAAAATAAGAAAACAATTATGATTATTAATTAAAAGTATTTTACAATAGAAATAAAATACTTTTGAGAAAAATATTTTCAAAGTATTCCAAATACTGTACTCGAAATACTATATTCAAGACTGCTTTTTTTGTTCTAATTAATAGTTTAAGCATAGGCGAAAKTATGGGGTGACTTTAGTGGCTAAACCTCCCTTAAAAACTTCAATAGCTACCAAAAACTTTTCGTACATGCATGTATTTATTTATATAATATTATGGTAGCAAGTAGCCACAGATAATAGTAATATAAATATTTTTGATATGTATATATAAACGTTCACCATTAGTTACTGGGGCAGATTAGGTTAAACTACACAGCAATATTCATGTTAATGGTCCCAAATAATAAAAATAATTAATTTTATATTTTACTCGAAATAATTCTAGGACTCAATTGGTTTGTTTTTGTTTAGAATTGATTAAATTAATTAATTAGGTATATTTTCCCATTCAGGGGGMTCATTTAATATACAWTGTTTATTTTTATTAGATATTATATTGTTATTTAATATGATTTATTAATTATTAGCATTTATACCAACATTAATTTAATATTGCATATTAGGTACTAGAAAAAAACAGTACGTATTTACCATAGATATTGGCAGCATCACAGTCATGAAAAAGAAGTCATTCACCTCTCGAATTTTGTTGACCAATTTTCCGATAATGATAGATTTTGGCATCAATTCAAAGAAATCCAATGCTGTAGCTATCATGAAAAATCCTAGATGCATGATCTAAAACATAATATAAACAATAGTTTTTATAATTTTCACAAGATTACAGCAAAGTGCAACATGCATAGGTATTTAATACATAATACATCTATATGTTCTATGAATTGCAATAATTCTAACTGCGCGATACTCATACACGTCATGTGTCTTACTGTTAAAGTGTTAAACTCAAATGTATAAATAACATATTATATAACTTAAAAACTAGTTAAATTTCAAAAAAATGTTACTGAAAAAGCAAAATTATCGACCAATTACCCTGACCACCAAGATTATTTTTATTTTTATATATGAAAATCATTAAACAATCTGAACAAATGAATATTACAAACAGCCAATTTCAGAAAAATATATTAATTAGTTAAGTATTTTTCTAATTAAAACAAATTATATCACTAGCTTAAAAAGTGTAGAAACGCCAAAAGTTATGTTCAGTCGCCAATTTATTTTTATTTTTATCCATTGCTATACTCAATCAATTTTAAACGTTAGGCATTGTTYATACATTTATAACGACGTTTAAAATTCGGCTGTAATACGATTAAGAACGTTYGGCCTTTTTAAACGTACGATTGAGATCACTCGAAATGGAACAATGAAATAACCGCTAACAAGCGCCAAAAAACAGTACTATTGAGAACGAAATTAAGTGCAACATTGCCGAACTATATTCAAATCAAAATAAAAATGAAATAATACCACATAATTCCACATGTCAATGTAAGTTGTTTTTGATTTATTTTCTAAGAAAAAGAAAACAAGTGGAACATAATATTTATTTTGATAACAGTGTATAGTATACATTTGTAAAAAATGATTTGGTGCAAAATCAAAAGTACCGTCAGCCAAAAAAGTTGTGCAATTCACTACAAAATTTAGATTATCTTTAGTCGTAATGGAAATTAAATTCTTTTCGTCGTGTACATAAATAAATTATTGATCTCTATATTTAAAAACATCATTAGTCTCAATATTGTCTTTTCTCCGTCTAATGAAACGGTATTTGTGTTTGTTAAAAACAATTAAATTTTCACCACGTTCAGAGGTGGTAATAAGTCTTATTTCTTGGTTATTTTCCATTTTATTTAAGTAAAATATTAATTTTATAACGTAAAATATATTTGGCACAAAGCACAACACGGGAAATCACGTACTTACTGAGTAATACGAAAGTATATATTTTGATTAATCGTTGCAAACAATTCGYTATCGTTGTATTTATATAGATGAAGTATCATTATTAATGAATAAATGAATTATCTAATTATGATAGCGAATGTCATATAGACAGTGTGTGAGCAGTGCTAAGAGTCGTATATATTTATATAGGATAGCCATAGCTGACTTTTATATGGCAAAGTTTGGCTACGTTGCGTGGAAAAATAAAAACTGAGCGTTTTAAATCGCAATAGCCAAAAGGGTCTAAAAAAGGTATCACCAATAATAACCGTTCTCAATCGTATTCCTGCATAAAATTCAATAAGTGTTATCTGAATATTATATAGATCACTAAACGTTGGTTGTTTTGATATTTTAATTTTAAAGTAAGTTACAAACATTTGTAAATCGTCAATTGTAATGGGGCCATAGATAATATTCTTACCTTTAAATTTGATAATACATTAATATTAACACAAATATAAAAGTGTGAAATGGATAATTTTGAACATATGCCCTTAACATTTGCCATGTTGTGCATTTTTAAGACGGACCAACCTTTAGCGGGTATAACGTTCTCGCAGGGGTAATCAAAGTATTTTTTATCTAACTCTATCCTTGCGAAATTATAACTAAATATTATTAATTAATAATCTTGTTAATATCATTATGAAATCAAACTAGAAAATCCATACGCGTATATATCTTCCTACATTACATGTACTCTTTTGTTTTTGTTTAAATTATTTTTTTCTTATTGTTAGACGCACTTATTACTCATAAGTAATTTATTATATTTTTATTATATGAATATGAGATAAGTTATTGAATTATTAAGAACATTAATGTTCATTAATAACCCAGTAATTATGAAAGGGTATCAAAAATGTAGTTATAAATTATTTGAAAATGTAAACTCGTCTAGTTAGGTTGTGTACTTACAATTAATGCAGATAAGAAACATAACATCAAATACACCACAAACGAAAAATCGAGTCATGTTTTCGAAAAMCCCGAAATAGGCAAAATCCGATYTATTTATCTTTATATTCTTATATATATCTTTATTTATTCTTATCTCAATAATAATAGGCACATCAAATAAAAAACGAACACTTCAGATAAAATCTGCAAACAGTAAAAAGACGAATTTATGTGGACTTGGTATATTGGTAATCGTAGTACAGGAAAATGCGCACTAAGCGCGGTAATAATACTAATAATTGGGAACCTTGGAAAAGGCGGAAATTGTCATTTTCATCGATTATTGTTATTAAATTCTGATTTATAGCTTATGTGTAACTATTAAAGAGCTGATCCAGTTCAGAGACCATTATTTTCGGACATATTTCAAACTAGATACATGGCACGGCAAACTATATCATGATACGCGTATTGTAAATTCTATGGTCTTAATATATTTTTCTTCTTGATACTGTGTTGAATTATTGCCTGTGCTTTACYTCTTGGTTTGTTAATGTTACACAACCCTTGTTATGAAAATTCCTTAAATTCCAGACACATGCATCGGAACTTCTCACATAACACTATAATTTACATGAATTAATATATATTCACTTGGAGGAATAAGTTCAATTTCATTATGAATCACACCTTTAGTAGTAAATCAACATTAACATTACATATACCTGTATTAGTGTTTAAACTAGTTTAGAGACTTAATGTATCAATATTAATTAAGGCTGTCTAATTATCAGTATCAATTAATGCATTCGAACAGTGTATTGTATATACCACTTTATTATAATAGGCAACTCGCAATATGTCAGTAGATAATTAATCGTAAATTGTTAACATAATCTGAGTTTAATAATATTTGTATATGTCACAAATCTAAATACGTAGGTACTACATTCTGAAATAATAATAATCATGCCTAAAATTTAAAAAAAAAAACGATTAAAACGTATTTTGAATAATAATAGACATAGTATAATAATTAAATAGGTTTTAGCAATGTAAATAAACAAGCCAACCGCCACACACTATTTAAACTAATTTAAGCTAGCTTTGTTGGTATTTGTGTTTTTATTATTTATGTGAGCACTGTCTAAACACCAGATTGTTTAATTTTAAATTGGTTACACATTTTGTACAAACAATAAAAAGATAAATTTACAATTCTTAAATGGATMATACCATACTTATTACTTATTATACTTGCGAATAACAATATTTCGAGCGAAAATCATCCACTAAATTAATTGCAACTCTAGTGAAATAAATTTTAATATAAACTCACATACATTCAAACTAAGAATTTAATACATTTAGGATATACAGAAATCAATAAATACTAATAATTTTAGAATAAACTAGGTATTATGTCTATATAGAAAATTAGATCTATTCTTCACAGTTTCATAGAAAAATTATAGAGATTTCGAAATATTTGCTCATCAACTTTCGTCATTTATAGCCAATGAAAATCATAAAAGTTTAAGTATGTTCATCGATWATAATTGCAATATCTAGTGAAATATTTAAAAATCAAAACATACAAAAATAATGGTTTTAGCATAAAAGTTATTGCTTTTAGGTGTTGAAAACATTA